CCACAACCCATCTCCAGCCCACCAGAAACCACTTTGAATGCAACTGCAATGTGCAAATACCAGATATTTGCAGTTAGGGCTTCTGGGAACAGTAGAAACCTGAATATTACACGTGTGCTTTCCAATTTGTTACTACGAAGCCAATCCATATTTTCAAAGCGTAAATGACATATTTTTAAAGTGCTAACTAGTAACATTTTTAAATCATTAAAGCAGGAGTAGAGTTATTCGCTCCCAATCCTAACATTATTTGTAATAAAAGTACATATTTTGAATAATAGTTTTCACTGCTGAACTTAATTTAGTTTTAGAAGTCTCTTGTTATATAAAAATATTGCAAGAACTCTGTAAATGTTCTTTGACCACAGCAATTAGATTTATCCGAAGAGTAAAACTTATTCATTCGTTCCCTTGAAATATTCCCATCCCTTAGGAACCGAATAAGGACAAAAGTTTCCCAGCTCCGGAGATCAGGAAAATCGTCCTTTCCCTACCCAAAACCACAGTTCTCCACAAAAAGAAATTGGCACATTCGCCATCCAACCACATTTCGCCTACCATAAATCCAGACAAAGGAAACTTTTTGGCAAGCGAGAATTTATGCCCGGACTCGAGACCGACTTCTTAGCGATTTGTTCGGGCTTATAATTCATGTTTTAATTGGCAAAAGCCGAGGGTTGAAATACGCAGACGTCGAAGAGGCGCATTTATTTATGACTCGTTAAGTGTAAAATATCTGGCGCAAAATCAAAAGATGCAGAAAGCCCATACCCAACTCCTCAACTCCCAACCGAAAATAACCATTTAAATCATATGCCTGTTATATGGGGGGCTGACTCGAATACGCCCTCGAAATAGGACAGAAAAAGCCGCTGCCAAGTTGGCAGCCATTAGGCTAATTATAAGCGTTCTATGGCCGACACAGTACTAAGCTCCCTACGAGCGTTTTTGAAACGTTAAGTCCCATATATGGGATCACGAGGGTCACTAAAAGTCCCCCCCGAATGGGGTACAACATAAACTACAATAACAATTAGTCGGCTTACGAAGTCAGAGCTCGGAGAATCCGGCAGCCCTAAAAACCCAAACCCTCATCATCAGGCGTAAAAGTAAGAAGTGTCCACAAAGCTTGTGCGTAAGCCGTTGCCAGAGGGGAGGAGGTTTTGGGGCTGGTTAGCCAGTTCGATCCATTGGGGTTAACAAAGGCCGTACGAGATTGTCATTGTGCCAAAAATGGGCCAAGCTAAAGAGTGCATGACATACGCTTTTTACAATTATTTACTGACACTTCCGAGTCACGCCCTTAGGTGTCCTGAGAAAGGACCACGAAAAAACATAGAGCTAGTACACATGTGCAGATTAAGGCCTGCTTTTTGCTCCCCTAAAACAAAGCTTCTACAAATAGAAATCATGAGAGGGAACACTGAAGAAAATAGTTAATAGTCCACAAGACTTTCAACAAATATTTAGAAACAAAAACTTACAAATTTACTCCACGACTAACAATGGTCAGAAAATTTTAAGGTTGACAAAAAGTTTTTCATTTTTAGCATTAACATTAGGAAACTCATTTCCCAAGACAAATGGCAAGACCTGCAAATAAGTTTGCATGATTTTTAAGCAAGGCAATTTATTTAATTTCTTAGCTCCTCATAAGTATTTCCAGAGAAGCTCCTCAACCGGAGAGCCGCTAATCAAAGCCACTTCATCCGGAGCGTAAACACTTTGCTAAGTACGCCGGCAAGTGTATCTCAGCTTCAGCGTTTTGAATACAAACTTTTCTCGGCTGCTTTTGTTATGATTTCCCAAAAGCCAAGACGGGACACTGAACTGTGTTTGTCATCGGGTGACAACAAAGGCTGGGAAAAGAGGAAGTCAACCTCTCTCTCTCCACAGGCAGTCGGTGAAGTTTTTGCCAAAAGTGCTCTTTCTTTGCTCGCCATTCTCTTCCAGCGAATCCTGTGAGTCCTGTGAATCCTGCGAATCTGGCAGTGTGTTTATCACACGTCAAAGGCGCTTTTTGTCTTTGCCCAAATCCGCTTCAATTTGAGCCGAGATGAGCGGCATATAAAAAGTTTTCTGTTGTATAAACATTGTGTGATTGTTAGAAAAACATGTGCCAGCGGCACAAACACAAACTCGCAATGAGAGAAACGCCCACTAGAAACGGAAAATGAATAGAAAAATATTACATCGGAGGTCTGTTCCTAGAATACACTGCAAAAGTTAATATAAACTTATATATGACTGCATATAATGGTAAAAAGATTTTTTGTAAGAATTTAAAATCGTATAAAAATCAGATTTGTAAATCCAAAAGTTATTTTTATTCGACCTCTAGCTCTTGCTTTTAAGCTAAATTTCATAACAAATCTCATGGAGAAGTTGTTAGACTTTTACTACCCTATAAAACAGAAAAATCGGGAAAAAAGCGGGGTAAAGCAGAAGGGGGAAACGCAAAGCGAACTCATCAAACAACGCCATCATCTGCATATGCCACGTCCTTGTCAGCGACATACTCATTCCCGTTATGATGAAAAGTCGCAAGTTTTCCAAGAATGAGTATGCGATGGTGTGTATGTGTTTGTGTCTGTGTCACAATAAAGCCGCCTTTATAGTCCCCAGATTAGGTTAATCCGCTGGCTGTTAGCTGTTGGCATCGCTATCTGCCACGGCCTTTGTTCTAATGATGGAAATGAGCGTGTGAAAAGCCCGGGCAATAACTCTTTCTGTTTTGTTGCCCTAATGAAAGCAGTTACAGTTTATTGTCCTCACGCACACACAAATTCCTCAGCAAAAACTCAGTTTAATGAACCGCTTCTGCTCGCAGCGAAAAAAAAGTAAGCAAACAGCAAGGATATTCAAGTCCCAGGCCACGCTTTATCATAATTTACGATGTATTAAGTGATTTTAAACATGATGCTTGCTGTTGCCTTTGCCATTACTGCTGTCTTTTGCAACCTCTTTGACACACTTACACCTACAGATGGTGTTAGATAAATAGTAAGTTTAATTAAAAAATATATAAAACACTTTAAATGTCATAATTTGTGTTAAAAAAATATCCTTTAAACTTTTTATAAGGAAAAGATTAGTTTTCATTGTTTTAAGTTTTTAAATTTGAACTGATAAAAAACTGCTTTCTATTATTCAATTTTAACCCCTTTCAGTGACATAATTACTGATGCCATGGAATCCCAAGAAACTCTATAAACTTAACCTCCACTGTATTTAACCCCCCACGCTTTCGCCATAAAAAGGTGTGGCATTCTTTTGAGGGCTCATGCAGTTGACATGTGCCAAGGAGGTTGATTAAATTAATGAAATAAATTATGAGCTGCTCATCACCGGCTCGCTCGCTGTTGCCTTTTAAATTGAGTGCGCGCCATCTTGAAATTAATAATGTGACATGTCACAGGACGAAAGTGGAGAGGTAGAGGTGTGTATCCTTCGTCTCCACCTTGGCAGGTGCCATACACGTGTGTGTCGAGGTCCTTTTAATTCTGTTGCAAAATAAATGAAGTGCCTAAGCCAGCGAAGACGTAAGTCGCCTGTCTGGTGTTCTGATTTATGCACAGACTTGGATTTTTCTCAGCTCCGCTCCAAATTTATGCACTTAATTTCATTAATCCATCCATTGCGACATCACGCATACGCTCCCGTTGTGTGGCAAGTCCCAGATGCGGAAGCCACACAGACACAGTTGACTCTGATTATTGAATTGAATTTAGTTTTAAAGTGGCCTCGTGTTCCCAATCAAACTGCATTCTCATTCTGTGGCCAAGTAATTTCCAATAAAAGTGTCACAAAATAAAAGTTCTTCTCTGACTGCGACGAAACGCACCACAAATTCGTTAGACGTGCAGCCTCAAAAATCCAATAAAAACGCAATAAGACTGAGGCCATTGGCCAGTGACTCGTATTTTGGTCTCTGCCCTCTGCCTTTGGAAGCTGCTGCTACAATGCAATGCATTTAAGTGCGATTATTTCTTCCGACAATGGGGATTGTGTGTGAATTGCAACTGGCGTTGCACAATGCTCATGCGGAGCATTTGCATACAGTGTCGGATACATTGCTTATACACCTGAAGAAGTCACAGAAAGTTTTTGTAGGAGAAACTAAAAATAATATCTCCAAAAGGGTTCCTCAAATAATATTTAATTTATAGAACTTACAAGCATGTTTCTAGAAACAGTTGAATGTACTTACAACATATCCTTGAACAATTAATAGCTCAGAAAATCTAAATAAGAACCTTTAAGAGAAAATGAATCTAAGGTTCACACTAATCTCTTTGAAATACCAAAAATAGTGACCAAGATTTCCCAAAGTGCACGCCTTTTAGGCCCTCGAACTCGGAACTGAACCTGGGACTTGAACCACCTCACCCTGGCCAGAAATTAACAAAATGCATTGCACGAAGCGAGGCGAAAGCTCACCCCAGCTGGAGCATTGGACCAACAAAAGCCACCAAATTAGCAGAAGCACACAAAGGGCTCTAGAGGTGGAGCAGAATGTGCTGCTCACAATGGACCAGCACGAAATGCCATCAAGTAAACTGGGAGGGAAAGGCAGAAGTAATAGAACTGCAGAAGGGCAGGGGAGTTTGGGGGTCTAGGCCATGTTTGCTGCCAGACAGTTACAATGGAGTTGGTTGACTTTTGTGGCCCATGTGTTACCATCAGGATGCCATATAACGCAGTAGAAGATGTAAATAAATGGAAGATGGTGAATGATTCAGATAGTTCTCAGTTATGTAGCTATGAGTAAGAGAAAGTTATAATAAAGATATGTTATCTATCATGGTTTAAGATTTATACCATATTAACATGATTATCCTAAGAACAAATCTTAAAGATTAAAGAGATCCTTTTATAAATCAACTTCAATCCCAAAAATTGATGCCCTTGATACCCTTTTTCCTCCTAGAATCACAATACGCATAAAAGGCAGTACTCACTCTTTATAAACATAACAAAAGGACAAACAAAAGCTGATATGCAAATTTAAAGTTACATTTATTCGAGCTTCCATTCCGGTGAGCTATAAAATCAAAAGCAGAACGGGAGTGCATTAAAAATCATCCTCATCGTCATCGTCATCGATGATGGCCAACCGACGCCGCTTGGCCGGCTCCCCATCGACTTTGGCTGGCTTTTTGCGAGCCAGAAAGTTGGCCTCCTCGTCGCTGTCCTCTTCCATGTGACCATCATCGTCATCATCCTCCCGATCGACATCACTGCGTGGGCGTTTGTTTGTCTTGTCGGCAGGCAAGGCGCCATCATCATCGTTGTCGCTATCCGAGTCAATTACATTAACGCGACGTGCACGCTGCAAGGACTTATTGGTAATGTTCTCTTTGTCCTCATTGGCACCGGCATCGGCATGGGCATCGGCATCCTCGTTCTCGTCCTTCTGCTCCTCTTCCTCCAGTTCGAGCAACCGAGCACGATAGTCCTCCGAGTTAAAGTTAAATGCATCATCGTCGTCCGCCTCTTGAGGGGCCTTTGTTGACTCATTTAGAGCCATATCGCTTAGTTTGATTTTAGTGGCGCGCTTGGCTCTCAATTGGTTAAATAAATCATCCGTGTTGGGTTTCTCTAGCGCCGGTTTATCTTGCCCTTCGTCACCAGAGTCCTTTGACTTCTTGGCTTTGGCGTTGGCTTTGTCTTTGACCTTTTCGCTTGGCCTTCTTTTCACTGGCCTTGGGTTTGTCCTTGGCTTTTGGTGGTGCCCGCTCCTCGTCCTCGTCATCACTTTGGTTGAACATGAGACTATCAAGTTTTTGTTGCTGCTGGGCCGCTATGTTCTCCTGACGCTGCCTGCTGTGCTTTTCTAGGAAGTCTTCCTCTTCCTCACTTTCCTCATTCTCTTCCTCCTCCTCCTCGTCATCATCCTCTGCAGCCTCGTCTTCGGGTTCAACATTCACATCATCTCCTGCCAGGATTTTAGAACGCACTTGTAAGTCAGCTTGATTTAGATAGGTTGGAATACGCCAGTAGGTTTCCATGCCCGAGATAGGCGGTTGCATGCCCAGAGAGACAAGAACCTTTTTGAAATCACCATCCTCCATGGCATCCTTTTGATCCTGCATTAAGGGCACCAGAGGGACACCATCATCCTCCTCGGCTGGTTCTTCAGTATCCTCGCTGGCATCCTGCAGACATTCCTGCAGCCACTCAATAGCCGATTGATACTTCTCGGCATCCACCTGAGAGATCAGAGCTCTTACAGTGCCCACATCCAATGGTGTTCGAACCAGCTGACGTTTTGCAACTTTTTTAGGTTTGGTCTTGGGTTTCTTATATCCTTCCTTCTTAAGCATGGGTTCCTCTGTAAAGCTGTACTCATCTGGCTCTTCTTCATTGTCTGGTTGCTGTTTCTTCGACTTGCCCTTGCCACGCCCCTTTTTGGGTGGTAAGATCTCGGACTTGTCCGCTATCAAATAGGTCTGTAACATCCGCTTGATGATCTGCTGCTTAGAGCGCCGCTCTGCGAACACATTGACTATACGATCCAGGCAATCTAAAAGGATAAATGCAATAAATAGTTTTTAAAGTGGTTTTTAATGTCTGAAGGTCTAGTTAAACGAATATTAATCTAAAATAAAGTACATCCTAAAATCAAGGACTTCTTTTAGCTAATTTATGGCATAAAAACTGGGAAAAATGGAGTATGACCTTTTTTGAAAACCGCCTGCCTACCTCCCGCCTGTCAAAAATCCAAAAATTTGCCAAAAAATTAAATTTCCGAATTCGCCCAAAAAAGATTATGGGTTGTATCTCAGAAGAAAAAAAAATTAAGATTAAAACCAAATTGGCTTCCTGAATGATTGCTTCCAACATCTAATCGATTGGGATTTTGTCTTATGGCCTCGATTTGAGCCTACTCTTTCCATCTGCCCCTCTGTGTACTCAAACTGATTGTCCACTTACCCGGTTCAGTGCGATGCTGATCGTATAAGCTCCTTAGCTCCTCATCCTCTTCCGGCTGCCAGAGGTTTTTGCCGCCCTGGGCTGATTTGGTCGAACGTTTCGTTGGCGCCTTGAACAGCAGGCCCAATTCCTTCAGCTTCTTCAGGACAGTGCGACGATTGCGCGTCTTGTCGACCAAATTGTCCAGAATCCAATCAATCACATCTGAAAGAGCAGACACAATTGGGTAGTTGTTTACTGCTGCTGCTACTACTCTTCCTTTTTTCGAGTGGTTCGAGTGCCGGAGCATTGATTGCTTCTATTCATTTACTCCGTATCGAGTTTTAATTCACACTCAAAGGGAGCTCCACAAATTGCAGTTGCAGTGCGTCAAGGGATGCAAAGCCGATCAAAAATGAGACCATATTGGGTTTAAGGTTTTATTGGAATTGAAAATGACCTCTTAAGGTCAATCAAACGATATTGAATGGCAATTAAAGGAAAGATTGTTGGTACAGTCTTGCTTTTCCTTAATAAAGTAAATATTTTCAAAGTGATTTAGATTTAATAGTTTGGCTTTGCATCCTTGAATCCCAATAATAATAGTTACCCTTATCGGTTTCCGGATTGCGCTGGTTCTCCTCGAAGAGGAAGCGTAGCTCCGACTCCTGTTCCTCGCTCCAGGCTCCTTTGGTGCCGCTGCAAGTAAGGTTAATACAATAAAGATAGAGGCAGGTTTTAAGGTCTGTATCTCCCAGTGATTTTGACTTGCCATCCAGAGGACCTGACCCTTTGACTACTCTAGCCATAGGGTGCAAATACAATGGAGTCTCCGTTCTGGCCGCTGGCCATCATTTATCATGTGCCAACTAAACGACAGACGATGAAGACCCCGGCTCAGTCAATCATGCGGCCATTGTGATGGGCCCATCCATCCCAGATGTGGAGACAATGCCCAAGTAGCCCATACTCACGCTTCGTAGGCGTCACAATAGCCCGTCTCCAGCTCATTTGCCTCCCTGATGCCTTTGTAAAATAATAACTCTGCATAGATTTTGGGATTAGACGGGGCCACCTCGACAAATTTGCGCACCACAAAGATGGACAGGCGACGCAGCTCCTCCTGATGGACGTCACGTTCCACGCTGAGGACTTGTTGAAAGATGCGAAACAGCTTGGCCTGTTTGGAAACGGAGGAGAGAAAGGAAAAACGCTGGTAAGGTTGTGCTTGAAATTCAAATGAAAAGTTTCTTGGAAAGACAGCCACAACAGCCGCCACCTTGTCCCCCCTCCTTCTTTTCTTCCTTCATTTGGAATCCTCTGCGGTTGCCGCCTGCGGTTGTCTCTCTGCTGAGCAAGATATCATTTGCAGTTGGCAAAAACTTTATAAATGCCACCCAAAACCCAGACAACTAACCCTAAAAACCCCCCCTATATATCCCGCAAAAGCCATCTCACTAAAAACCCCCCTGTATCTCTGTATCGTTGTCGACTGTCGTCGTCCGTATTTGGAATTTAATTTATCCTATGATTGCGCAGACCCATTAGTGGTTTTGACTTTGCATATGATGCTACTTTTGTTTTGCTTGTGGCCAGACTGGCAAGCAGCAGTCTGCTCCTTTTGATGGCCGCATGGACATGGATATCTGCAGCAGTTCACTGGGGGAAAAGAACAACCCATCCAATATTAACAAAAGAAATATTAATTAAGACTTACATCGGGGAAAAAATCTAAGAACTTTAATTGAGTCTTTAAATGGAAATATGAAATGTTTTTAATCGATTTTCTGTATTTAAAAGTAGTTTATAAAGCCCCGAAATAATTTTGTATTTAAACGAAAGACTCTTGGATAAAATCTAATGATTAACCTGTTTTTTGGGTGAGTTTTTTTTAAAGGACTTTTAAGACCTGGTAAGAAGGACTTTTAGGTTCTCCAAAACTTTTTGACTTTTTAAGATTTTTTCCCAGTGCTCAGTTCCTCATTCTCGTCATCATCATAGCCGTCGTCATTGTCGTCCTTTTAATCGTCGCTTGTGCACAGCAGACACTGAGCCGGCTTAGATGACGCTGATAGGGAGCCCATGCCGCCTGAGTAGAGGGACGCGAGATGATGGACTCTGGAGACGAAATACGGAAGACGGTAGGCGGAGACACTCGACATCGGCTTTTGTCCCCCCAAATGCGATGCCGTTTTTGGCCGCTCCAGTGATTAGCCATTCACCATTCCCCCTACAAGCGATTCTGCAGTGGTTGCATGCCATTCAGTTGCCCGAAACCAGAAACCGAAAGCTTTAAGCGCCGCTTTAAGCCGATGAAAATGGAAAAGTCGGCGGATAGGTGGGTGGTTGGGTTGGCGTCGGCATGGCGAAGGCCGCGCAGCCTGCTGCTGAATGTGATTTATGAACTCTGCCCGAAAAGAAAAGTTTAATTGCCAGCCGTGAAAAGCAGCATAAGCAGTTGAAAAGAAATCCGGGAAGAAGTGAAAACACTTTCCGAAAGGTACAAAATTAAATGCTCTACGAAAGAGAATTTTAAAATTAAAAAATAACTTGCTAGATATATAATATTTAAGTCCATGGTTTAACCACAAAAAGATGAAATGCCAATGACACATTAAATTAAAATTCTAATAGAGCTAGCAAAATGACTTTGTCACATTAAATTCAAAGTAAAAGCATCAAATAAATCTGGGAAAATATCTTTAAGGCCCAATTTGAAGACAATCGCGTTAGACTCTTCCCCAGGGACTCTGTCAAACTCAAACACAGACATTTGAATATTTGAGTCGCTATAGAACCCAACCGATGCTGTGGCTCAAGGCAGCGCGTGAAAGGCTTAAAAAGTTCAAATTCCAGCTGACAGCGGAGGGACCAACCAACCAACCAACCAACAGAAAAAAAAAAAGAAAAGAAAACCCTCCGAGCCCATTGGCAAACCAGCTTAAAAAAATATATATATACGAACGCGAAGAGCAGTAAATATCGTTTGTGGCTTTGGACAAATAGAAAAAAGGTCCGCTTAATTTGTACAAATTACCATAAAAATGAAATGAAAGCAGCGACAGTAAAAGTAAAAGAGAGCAAAAGGAAAATGAGCTTCAGCTAAGCTGTGGCATTTGTTTTTTGCGTTTGACTTTGATTTATGTGCAGGTCGCTTAAATAGATTTAAAAAATAAAATAAAAGAAACCAATGAGCATTTCGAAAAGTAATCTACTAATATATTTAGTATGCTTAATGTTACTTAAAATCGCCATTTAATCTTTCAAAGCAATTATTTTATACTTAGTCTCAACCTGAAAGCCTAGTTAGTCAACATTCTCAGTGTTAACATAACTGGTAATTATCTTACTCACCTGAAAAAGCATTCCCGGACACTTGCAGCCGTAGGCGATGCGATGCAGGATAGTTACGGCTGCTTTTAAGGATCGTGTGGGTATATCCGCCCAATCCGATAAAACTAATGTGCAGGCGCGAACAATTTTCGGATGCAGCAATCTAAATAAATAGGGAAAGGGGTTAAGGAAGAGGAAAACTCAAGAACACAGGCGGGAATTATAAACCAAACTCCAATCAAATTATGCTAAATTTAACTAATTATGATTTAAGAGTTTAGCCAGCCAGTCACCCCAAAAAACAGCCATCGACCACGGCAACCGCAAATGTTCTACACTCGGCGCAAAAGTTTTAGAAACAAATTTGCAACAACAGCAACAGCAATGGCAATGCCAGAGCAATTAAAATACATCGGGCAAACCAACTTGACGTCATTTTATTATAATTGTTGTGGCAGGGTGAGCGGGTGAGCGGGTGAGTTGCCGATGTTGCCGCTGTGCGGATGATGTTGCTGCCATACGAATGATGTTGCTGCCGTACTGTTGCTCTTGCTGTTGCTGCTGTTGCCGTTCTAAGCTGCCCGCGGCATCTGTGCGCTCCGGTTTTGAGTTCGAGTTCGCGGCCATAAAACTTTTGGCACAAGTAATTTCTGACACTAATCCTTAATTAGTAGCCACGAGCACTGACTCTCTCTGGTCTGCCTTTCAATTAAAAACACAATTACAATTTTCAACACGACCATCAGCGCACAAAACCGCCGTTCAACCGAGCGAGCGACCATGATAACTTTTCAAATAACAGCAGTAAAATTTAAGCATTCCCTTCATCCTGCTCTAGGGTTTATATTTCCCAAAAATGGTTAAAAGTGTCCAAGCGTTTTGGCCTTGATTTGAAAACTTTATGGGTTTCGGGGGGTAGGTCCTTAGTCTAGGCCTATTTACCTGCGAGCCAAATCATCAAATTTGAACGTTTTCTCCGTGAGTCCATTATCTAGCCGGGGGAGAAGTAAGGGGAAAATGGGTAAGGGAAAACAGGGAAATGCCATTTATTAGTTGAAATTTCCTCAAATTATTTTCATATTTATCACAGATTTAAGCGTTGAGTGCTGCTTACCCTGCTCCTCGAATTCCTCGTTATCCAAGTCTTCGTCATCGTCTTCGTCCTCGTTTTCATTTTCCTTCTCCTCGGGCTCAGCTGAAATTGAAAATATTTATTAAATATCGAGTCTAATCAGAATGCCAGTAATGGTGATTGAATTTCGCTGAAAGCACTTAATTGTAGTCAAAGATTTTATATTTCAAGGAACGAAGGAAAACCATTTAAGCTGATAAATCAATCAGGTGAGAGAATGCTGCTTTAGGGGAAAATATATTTTAAATGTAAATTATTGGAATGGAAATAATAAAAACAAATTCTCGCAAGAAAGCATGTTAAGTATTTGAACTAAAAGTTTTCTCATTATACTTTGCCATTTAACAAAGATAAGCCTGGAGTATTGACTTTTAAAACTTAAATTTTAAAGCCAACCTGCACACTTTGCAATTTAATCAATTATGCAGAAGTTGCACATAGAGATGGATGAGGACCCTCCGGTTTTACCCATCGCTTCTCCAACGGCAACACAAATGGCCATTAACAATAATTATGACTGCTGCAGTGCATAAACAAGTGTACTTATGTTCCAACAACCGGGTTCAAACACACAGATATAGAGGGAGATAGAGTGAGGGTCCTGATAAAATGCAAAGCTAGTCAAAAGCACACTTCACAGGATCCCTTTCGAAACAGTGCAATTGGAATGGAATACGTATGGAAAGCCATCCGACCCTGGGCTTTCGCTTCGAGGTAGCTGATGTTGCACCTGCTGCTCCTGGCAAAATGCCCCAAAAAATGTCAACCAAAGGCAGAGAGAAAGGTGGCCTTCGGGGCTGTAACAACTTCATTTTGAAAGTGCAACCAAGACCACCCCATTTTGCACCTTTTTCATCCAACACCCATGGAATTTGCTGCGTGTGCGTCGCTTTATTAACGTCTTGAATGGGTCTCTCCACTGGCATTTCTGTCCAGGTCCATGTCCCTGTCCCTGTTTCTGTTCCTGTCCCATGTCGTTGGCAGTGACGCTATGCTCCGTCATTAAAATACAATTTTCTGTGTCAGGTTCAAGCTGTAAGCCCAAAAACATGGCACACAGAGATGGGTAAGGAGAAATTGAGGACGGGGGACAGGGGCAGAAATGCAACACGGACAGGACACGATATTAGTGCATGTCTTTTGGGCTGCCTTTGTAGCTGCATTTGTTGGCCCGACACCCGAACAGGGACTGTGGATATAGTCAGGTACCATGCCCTGCGTCCCCCTGCCCCTGCCTTGTGCCACCATCCATCTGATCCGCTCCAGGACAACAACACCTTACTCCAGCCCAAAAGTACTGGAACTGCACGGCCATTAAACATGAACCTCGTTACGGCGTTGTTGATGTTCTTGTTATAAGCGGTAACTTCAGGGTAGTCAGGCTATGTGCCCGCCCAACTACAGAACTAAAGTCTCGAAGTCATGATGGCACTTTGAAACTCACACTAGCAGAGTCTCTTGGAAGAAATGTGGTTGGTTAACAGGGAATTACTGGTTAATAAACAGTAGCTCTGCTCTCCTTTAAACATGAAAAGTAGGTAAAAGTTTAACATTGAAATTAAAAGAACTTTTCAAGGAATATACATAAAATATATATAAAAAAGTTTAAAATGTATTTTGATTTTCTTTGTTTTTCGACTTATGGTTTTTGTAGACTCTCTCTCTACTTTCGATATTTGATCATTGATATTTAATTATTTATGTATTACTCTTAGGAATAGGTACCAAATATGTCTACTTAATTAAGTTTAATATCTTGTTCAGCTTTGCCTGAGCATCGCACTTTGCAGGCCACACTTAATGACTTTTGCGCGTCGCCTGCACCTGGACAACACCTGAATTTCCCTCTTGTTTTTGGCCCAACCACTGCCCCCTCCTCATCAGATGACCTTCATAGCTGGATATTTTGCACATCCTGCTGGCATGCAAAACGGGAACGTGCTTGGTGTTTGCCCTGTGGTCAACAGCAGACAATGTCCTGCTATGTCAGCCCAAGGACCATTTACTCCTCTATCCATATCCATACCCATACCTATATAACCATATACTTTTGGGCAGCAATTAATTTGAAGTTTAACACGTGCGCGTGTGGGTGTATATCTTTGTGATTATTACATAATGGCAAAGACAGTGTCAACAGCAGACTGAGCTAACCAAAGGTTGGGATGACTGGGTGGCTTTCAGTGGCTCAGGTTGTGCAAGAGCCTGAGCCGGATTTCAAGGACTCGCAAATGCTAACAGGTGATGACAAACACACACACTAACACATATACACACGCTCCTGCTGACAGGGACATAAACAAAATAATAACAAAACGCAGTCAGCAGCTTGAAGAGCAAAAGAGCTTCGAGGTTATAATCTCGAAGAGAAACCGCGCAGGCGCCTACAAATCATTTCGAATTTCGAACTCCACAGGCTGACTTAAAAGCATGTCCTGGCCGAGTGAGCAGCTCAGTCTAGTGCTGAATACATCGAGGCCAGGACACGCGACCCGTGAAAGTGTCAAATCAACTGACAAGCCCAAGTGCCAAGTGCCGTGTGAAGAGGCCACAAACAACAAACTAACTGAACTGCCTCGACAAACTGTGCGATTTAAACTAAGACAAAAAAATACAAACAAGAAGAAATAAAAGGTAGCAGAATCTGTGTGTTAATCTGTGTCCTTTGCGTGTGCTTGGTAGTGTGCGTGTTGTGTTGGTATTTGTGATGTTAGCCAACTTCCGGTGGCAGAAGGCAAAATGTCAAAACTTTTTTTCCTAGCAGACAGCGAGGCGTCGAAACGGGAATTGGGACAGGAGCATCCGGGTATCCAGCATTTTATTCATTTATGGGTTAAATAAACATAGAAAAGTAACTGTGTAGTGTTGAAAATATATATGTTTTTAAGTTTCAGAGTTTCTCTTTTCATTTGACAGATATGTATCTGTATGTAAAGAGGAGTTTATTGCCCTTTAGAGTATGGCATGAAATATTACTTATAATGAATAAAGGATAGTTAAAGTAGCGGTACTGGCACCTAAGCTGATTTGGGCTCCCTTTCAATAAATTGTTTAAATTAAATATCTTATCTTAGCAATATTACTTAGATAGTTGCCTACTTTTAAGCACCTAGAAAGACAAATAAAAGAGTAATAAGATTTCCTGAATAAAATATTCCATAGCATAGTTTTTGGGATAAAGTCTGTTTGATTTTAAGAACTTTGAGAAAGAACTTCAAAAGCATCCTGGATAAAGCATTTCGCGTGCTTCACTCATTTCCGCCAGATGCAGGTATGCATGAGTTGCGTATGTATGAGTGCTTGGGTGTGCATAATCTCTCCGTGTGTGTGTGTGTGTGAAAGAATCTGCTCATTTCCGCTCGCCTGCCAAAAACAGGTAGAAAGCTAGCTCGTAAAGCTCACGGTGAAAAATTCATTTGCAGTGCATCAGTGCCCGGGAAAAACCCTTAAGCAAGCAGCAGGCGAAGTGTATTAACCATAAACAAAAAAATAAACCCAAAAAAAAGATACGAAATTTAAACGTCTGTGCATATTAATCAGAACGAGAAACGTGAACAGGATCAAGTTCTAGACAACTTATCACAGAGGATTTACGCAGACAGACAAACGAACACGACACGAATGCGAGTGTAGAGCAAAAGGCGGCGCTAATCAACGACCAAAAGCAGACGACATCATCCTTCCCGACTCGCCACGCCCACTCAAATAACTCCCCCCAGTGGAAAAGGAAATCCAAAAAAAAAAAACAGTTCAGGAGCTGGCGAGCTGAAGAGCAGGAGCCGCCTCATTTGGCCACTGCGGATTATGTTAATTAGGTAATTTTTGCTTTGATTACTCGTACCTTTGGGGGCTTTGCAATTTTGTTTGCTTTCCTCCTCAATTCGACACCCAAACAGCCACCACCCACTGTCCAGCTTACACATTTTTGAAATTCTCATGCAAATCGAGCTAATTCATTCACATTTCCCTGCTGCCTTGGCTGCTCAGCTGGCAGCCGTTGCTCAGTTTTTTAATTCGCTGGCTTAATTGCAAGACAATTTTTTCTCTCGCCCCCTTGATTTGTAGTTAAAAACTCATAATTGCCAAGCAGTTGCGCGAAAATTGAAAAACTTTTTTTCCACTTCTATCCCTAAAATAAAGATAAAATTGAAAATATTTTTGGTTAATGTAACGACAACAACGAAAGTTCATTAGGCAAGTTAATCAAGAACAAATGAAAAATTTAAATATAAATGATTTTCGCCTGTAAATACAATTATCACTTGTCAAATCGATTTATAGCCAACCACCAATTAAAAATGGAAATACATTAAAATTACCAAAACTTTACTCTTTTACTTTACTTTTGAGTGCTGTTAATGGAATCAGAATTAATTACATGGCCGATAATTTATTTAACCGCTGACATTTCATGGTCAAGTGATTATGGCCCTGTTTCAAGTCCTCCACAGTTTGATTTGATTTAGCAAATAAAACAATTTGCAATCACAACACTATCAAATATTACTCAGAACTGGCTACAATAGACAGTTTGACATAGGAATTATTATGGCCTGTATGCCCAGCCTCTTGCACAATTCGATAAATTGAGGCCTAAATTCATGGAGCAGAATGCAAATTGTGGGCAAAAGTCCAAGGCTCTAGGGAGGACAGAGGTCAGGGGTTGACCAGAGCCAGGACAAAGCCTTATAAACTTGCGAATGGTAAATGGTAATGGAAACAAAAACAGAAACTCCCAGTTGCCGGCAGGCATTCAAAACTTTATGCTCAGCCTCTACCGTTTTCACCATCGATAATTAAATTGTGAAATTGTGTGGGCCTTTGCCTGGAGTTTGAGTATCGAAACTATGAAAATGTGGCCAGAAATCATGCTCAAGTTGCTGTTGCTATACATTTTCCCTACCTTTTAATTCAGTTGAGGGTTTCGTAGCGCCTGGGAGCTTTATGATTTTCATTTTCAATTTAATTTGATTGATTTTTGGCTTGTTCGGGCGACGGCACATGAAATTCATACTCGTGAATTATGCATGCAAAGCTGCTCGGCAAAAGTATTATGAAATTCCTGTGGGCAATTTATTTATTTACGAGTATATTGCGCACAAGCCAACCCAGAACATAGAACACCATGTTGGGTAAATTATGTATAAATAAATACCACTACATACAATAGACTTCCATATACTCGTACATACATCAGCGACAAAAAGAGTATGTTTATGTGCTGGCAAAAATGTTAAGAGCAAATTAAGCGTACGCTAATTCGACTTTTATCTGCTACGGCAATAAAACTTTTGGTATCCGAACCAAGGAATCGTCTACGTTTACCTCGAAAAGCCATAAAGTCCAAGTTCCTGGCAATTAATGCAGCCACAACGTCTAATTAGATGGCAGCAAAAGTGCCGCCAGTTCAACTCAGATAGCACACGCACCCCCAAAAACTCAAGGTTTGGGTTAAGTACAGGTAGCCCTCTGTATAGGGGGTTGCTATTTTAAGGGTGCCAGGGTGTGGCTCAAGTGCCTCTTGTGCGGTTAAGATGGTAGCACCATGGAATCGTAACCTGATATCACATCAAAACACGCTCACAACTCAATTTATTTTGACTTTCAATCAAGTCAGGAGGCAGGTTTCAAACTGAATTATATGGGAATTGTTTCCACTGGCAGCACAATTATTATTTATTTAATTAGTCGCTGAAATATTTCGACTTTATGCCATCGGCCATGGTTAAATGAATATAATTTAAATTTCATTTGTTACCATCATGTGAATGTTATTTATGGCAGAAAATGAAAAATGCTTAGGGCTATTAGCGATATCTGATTACCGGTTAGTGTTTGTAACTATTAAGATTGAAATCATGCAATCAAAATGGTTCATCAGGCTAATTATGAGTGCAATTTGTAAAATATAATTCTTGATTTTCTTTATTATTATTTTTTTTGTTATTTAGATTGCAAAAAAAGACTTAAATTCAATAAAATTTATTAGTTTTACAAGAAGATAAAAACTTATCGTTACTAATTTAAGTCAGTTTTACCTGTTAAATATATTGTTGCATACTTTTAGACAGTTTTATAAATAATTTAATCTTCCCAGACATTTCTGTGGCCCCTATTATAAAAAGAACTCTTACATTCATTAAGCGGGTATTACTAATTAAAAGTAAATCAACATCAATTTATAACTCGATTATGCAACTCAATGCTAGTCGCAACCACTGTGCGTATGAGTGATGCGGGTGGCACGCAACCACAAACCGTTCCAGATGGACCAGGCTTCCAGGCTTGTCAGCCAACACAGACAGAGTGGCGGCATTGTTTGCGGCCAACTCCGGGTACTTGCAATCACGTGCCCCGTCTCGTGGCAATCAAAGTCGTTAGCTGCAACCCAGGGGGGGGAAAACCCCAAAAGGAAAGTGGGTCCATACACACTTCCATGTTCGGCTGCGGCGGCGGCGAATAATCAAATATTTTCGTGACTACAAAGGACCCACACAAAGATAGCAAGACAGGCGGCTGAAACTTAAAGCCAGTGAAAGTAAATCCGATTTAGGACTGGAAAACAGCAGCAGCCGCCGCCTGAGTAGAGGAAATGCTAAGGAAGGCTCCAGACAATTTGCATATTTATGAAGAAGAACGGCCTTTGATAAAGCTGCAAGACTTTGGCTCACGGCTCGCAGGCTGCTTTAAGCTGATTCAAATTGAAAAACGCAGACAGCAAAGGCAAAAGATACAAATGTAAATGGTTGTGAATCTTTGGGGGTTGGGGGTTAGCAACAATAATCTGCGCTGATTTACGATTTACAGGCGCGAAATAGACAACGAATTTTCCTTTTTAGAATGGGAAGTCGGCAGACAATTTGCGTGCGCAATTTGCAGTTGATGGGCGACACACGCCTCGAAACTCCCGCCCTTAAAACCAACCCCCGCAAAATGGGCTAAATTGTTTAACATTTCTGCAAATGCGAAAAAGCGAAAAATATTACACACTGATTTTGATCGTTTCGCTTTCTATTCTTTTTGTTGCTTAAAATAAACGCCAGCTGAAAATGGCAAATTGGAGAGCTGTCTCTCCATGGCAAATATTTCACGCTGAGTTTGCACAAATATGCCGCAATTTAAAGCAATCGAAAGCAAATGAAGCATCAGGGAAATGTTCTATTCACATTTTTCAATTCACTGTACATGATTGTATAAAAAAAGAACAGTTTAGTGAAGAGGAATATAATCAAAAAAGAGGAATTATTCGGATTTTAAATATTTTAAATTTAAATAGTGGAATTTATAACAAAATGACAACTACTACGACAACCATTCCATCAAAGTTTTGCCACTCATGTTAGTACTCAAAAATAATCCTGAGAACACACATAAAATAATTACCTTAACTGCACATAATTTCCAATTGAAAAGTCAGCCACATTTGCACTTTACTGATTGCAATGCAAAAACTTGTCTGCATTTGCAAATATTTATAATTAGTCAAATGCACGCAAATCCCAAAGTCCCCAACCAGTTCACCTCAATCTGTCTGTATGAAGAACTCATTTCGCAATCACTTCGCATATAGAGCAAATTTGGGTTTTTGTTCAAGTGGCTGCAGTAAAAGCTTTTAGCTTTCCCACACTCCCTTCTTGACATGTTCCCAGAAACTGTGTCAACATAGTTTTTCAATAACGCTCTGAAATGTTTGCATATACGTATTTAGTGCAAATATGGGTAAGCAGCTGGCATATGAGGTTGATATTACCAAAAACCAACTTCCGCTTTCCTCTTACCATTGCCCTGCACTTAGGCAAACATACTCAGATGCACATATCTGCATGTATAGTATATAAATGTATAAGTTTGCATTCTACAGAATGACTTTAACAATGCAAATGTAGTTCTCAAATATATACATAGATGGTATACTCGGTTAAAACCTTCTGACTTAAGACAGGTGCGTAGTTTGAAGACTAAAATGGGGGTTCTTGTATTAGAATGAAAATATATTTCCATAAGATAACGATTCTTAATAAGACAAAAGACAATTTTAAATGTAAAATATTAACTAAAAACCAAACAGTTCTTGAACATAACAAATACTATGCTCTCCCAATCTCTCGTTGCCTCTTCTCATGGGTATGAAACATTTGGAAATCTCACCTTAATGCCTAATCCTCGACATTAAAGTGTTGTGCCAGCAAAGTGATTTGTTATATACAAAGCGGCCGCATGCTGAGGCACCCAAGGCACCCAGACACATCCAAGAGCTCCCCCTAAGACCTCTTGGAATCACCATTATTCCCCTTCATCAGAAACGCACAATGGGTATGAAAACGAGAACGACGGCATTGCAAATAATCTTTGCAGTAAATACGCAACAAGAATGGAGAGGAAAAAACCCCCGGCTGGGGATCATTATTTGCCCAAGTGGGAAACAAAACGTTGGCAAAAAGTCCTGCTAACCAAATGTCGCACATGACTGCGGCAACTCGGTGTTCGAGTATGTATGTGTGTGTGTGTGTGTGTGTATCTATGTGTTTGAATGTGTAATTTAAGCATTAGAGACGCGTAAAACCTTAACTCAGCGCACACGCACGCACACACAGAGAGACATGAAAATTGAATAAATTATGCGTGTCATCACATGCCGAGAACAGGCGGAAAATGGGGGAGGGGGTATAGGAGAGAGCATCCCTGGCACACCAGGGATTTTCCTAGGAAAATCGCAATTTGTGTGCGACGAACGGCATTTAATTAAGCATTTTGTATTCATCGGAAATGTCATAAAAATGACGACGACAAGCCGTTGCCTCTCATTCAAGTTTGG